CTGCCTCAGCCTCCCAAGTAGCTGGGACCATAGGCGCCCGCCACAACGCCTGGCTATTTTTTTGGTTGCAGCCGTCATTGTTGTTTGGTGGGCCCGGGCTGGATTTGAACCCTCCACCTTAGGTGTATGTGGCTGGCGCCTTAGCCGCCTGAGCCACAGGCGCTGAGCTAAGCCTTTTTGCTTTCATCTAAACTACTCCATTAAAGAACCTAAAGTAACAATACATCAAAACAGAGCTTACTAAAAACTCCAATTTGATTTCCCAGACAATATAATTTAGCTAATCCCCAGTATCTCATTAATTGGGCACTCACATAAATCACTAGAAAGAGTGCCATCCAAAAACAATTATAAATTTTTAGTTGGGCAATATACACCAAAGGAATCCTTAAAGATGTACCTAGAATACTTTGACACAACCATTCAATTTCCAAGAATTAATTATAGTGGATAAAACTAAGTGCTCAAACACTTTTATTATGTAAAAATCAATTCAGCATTGTTTATAAAAGCAAAAAGCAGGAAAAATAAATAATGTAGAAATCCATATAGATTAGTTAACTCAATTATGAAAGATTCATATGATGGGATAATACATGGCTATGTATATAAACATACTGATATAAAATATATTTAGAAAAAACAACAATAAATTTAAGGTAGAGTCAACTTAAAAGCTTATAAAAATTACATTCTAAGACTCCATTCTATTTCTAAAAAGGGAAAAGATTCACAACTAAGTATACATTTGCATGTACATTTTTTAGGAGAGTTGTCTGGGAAAAGTCAGCAAAATGTTGACAGTAATTATGGACAGCAATACCGTTTATCGGGTTAGTTTTCTTCTTTCTGTTAGCTGTATTTCTTATTTTGTCTATAAAGCTATATACTAACAATGTAATTTAAACTTTAGATATGTCTAGACACTTTTGATTTTCCAGGCTTAAAATAACTATTCTCCAAATTTGAGATGATAGAGAACTCTTGAGAATTTTATTAAAACTATGGATTCAGTCTTCAGAAAAATGCCTCTATGAACACCTGTAAAAAGTCATATATGACTATAGGGATTCATGGGCCCCCTGAATCCAGAGACTATAAATACTTTGCCTAATGATTTTTCAAATGTGATAGATAAAAGAATGGCCACATGTGAGATGATGGTCCTGAACTGCCCTGGTGTGACCACACTGTTGTTCTAAGTAACGAAAGAGTTATGCTAAATTCCCACCAACTCCCTGTAGCCATCTCACTACTGAGTTAAGGCAGAGGCTGGGCTAGCACAGGTAGAATAGAGGCCCCAAGGGTGAGAGGAGGAGTTGGGCAAGCCTGGTTTCCACTAGCACACTTTGTAGCCTACTGAGCAATGGCTTACAAAGGAAATCTATGAGGACTGTTATTTTAAACAAAATCTTTACTCAATGCTATTTTTTTCTTTAACACTATTTTTAACCCCTGTTTCTTGGCAAACAAAATTCTAAGTTCTATAAACAATAGTAGTATTTGCTGAAAAGTCCTATCATGATGCTTTGTACATAGCATTTAACATATTAACTGGAGTGAGCAAGAGGAATGTTTTATTTATGAAACTAATAATAAACTGTATTCGCCTAAACAATACTAGGGGAGAAAAATACCTCCTTTTTGCTTTCCTTGTTTTGATCAACCTCAATGTCAATAGGGTTATTTCCATTTGTTTCTTCCAGTTCATCCTCACTGGAAGACAAGAACAAGTTACTGACAGATTATTTTGTACTAATAATTCTACTTAATATACAAATATAAGCAATAAGTTGATATAATAACAGATTTAATATAATTTATATTTTCAGACTGCTGTGATAAAAACATTTTACCATTCAAATAGAATACCAACCTCATAGTTCTTTTGATCTATAATAAAATAGGTTTACAACTTCCCAAATCACAGCTAAGACATTATTGCTCTACATGTGTATTTTCTTTCAATCCTAAACTAAAAATATCAAATTTTACTTGAAAAGACATTTACTTTATTTTCCTATAATTATTTATGGAAGGACTAGGACATGGCCATTAAACATAATTGTGAAAGTGTGCAAAAATTAAGTTCCACTGCACTGGGAGCAAACTCACCAACAAGTAAAATTCCACTTTCAAATTGCATCTTTTTTTTTTTTTTTAAGCAGGCCCAGGCCGGGTTTGAACCCACAAGCCCCAGAGCATATGGCTGCTCCCTCAAGTTGCATCTTTCTACTCATGACCACACAAAGTCTGAGGGTTTTCTGGTGGCCTAGATAACTGATGTTTTAAAATTAAATTAATTAAAAAAAAAAGAAAATTCACATTGGCATGGCATTTCAAATGCTTTTATTTATATCCTCTCATGTAATACTTCTCTTTTTTTTTTTTTTT